TACAGTCGCTGCCCAGCAGATTCGCACTTCGTAGCGTTGGGCGGGAGTGAGGTCATGGAGGAGGTACCATGATTCTGTCCCGGTTGGGTGGGAGGTTGTGGGGAAGGATACCGGGATGAGGGTGCGGAGGGTGGATTGGTTGGTGGGGAGGGGGGTGAGGCGGTTGAGAGAAGTGAGGATGGTGGTGATGGTTTGGTCGCTGATTGGGAGGTCGACAGCTGGAGGAGCAATGAATATCGTCTTCTCTGTGTTTGCCGAGATGGGAGAGACAAAAAGAGAGAAGGTGGTGAGAAGGAGTGTGAATAGCTTCATTTTTGGACAAGTCTCATGGTGGTGTAAGTGCTTGATGAGACGACTGCCGGGTCAGGGTTGCCGGAGAGCACGTGTTTCTTGGGAGTTGGGGTTAAACGAGGGCGGGTCCAATTTTTTTACCCCAGTTTCTTCTTCCCCGGGTTTTGAGCCAAACCAAGAAGTGTGGGGGTTCAAACAGCCAATCATAAAGACGGAATAGAGAATCACATGCCGGTTCTTCAGCGACCACTCGCCAGCATAACCCGGACTGCCTGCCCGTTCCAGCAAGTGGGTGACGCAAGGACCGAGGAAAATGGACCCGCGCCACACGAGGATAGCGCCAGACCAAGAACCACAAGCAAAAGCCCGTGAACATCAGAGAGTTTCGTCTCTCGGGTTTGACCACCATTGCTAAATAATCACAAGAGTCTGTTCGAAAATACCCGACGCGGTTTGAGGATTATCTACGAGACCTACGAGTCGAGTCCGTTCCTGAGACACACTCGCGTCTTTTGTTCTCCTTCAACCAAGTTCCCCCTCCCAACGGCTGGCTTATAGAACACCCCCCCTTTGATCCCCAATGACCGCCACAGCGCACTCGTGATTGTTATTCCCGACCTCCTCACTTCTGCCTTCCCACCACCGTCGCCGTTGCCCGAAATGGCGCCGACAATGTCGAAGCCGAGCGCCAATAGCGCGGCCGCCCGAGACCGAACAATTCGTGGCATCGTTAGCCAGTTGACGTCCATGTACCTCCAAAACCGCACCCGTATATCTCGCGCCGTCTACATCACACTCTTTGTCGCCCTCATAAACAGGGTGCGACATGCTATCCAGGAGCAAAAGGCTGCCTCGGTACGAGAGGCGACAAAGCGCGCCGAGAAGTCTGGTACAACATCGACTGCAGATGGAGAGGTGACAAAGAAGAAGAAGGTGGAATTGAACCGGGAGTTCTTCCGCTCGTTGCTAAGGTTGTTGAAGATTGTGGTGCCAGGATGGAGGAGCAAGGAGACGAGGCTGTTGATCAGCCACAGTTTCTTCTTGGTGATGCGGACGCTCATCAGCTTGAAGGTGGCGGCGATGGATGGTGCGATCGTCAAGGCTCTGGTGAAGGGCAACGGAAGGGAGTTCTTGATGCGCATTGTGTGGTGGATGTTGATTGCTGTACCAGCGACGTTTACCAACTCGATGTTGTCGTACCATCAAGCTGAGCTTTCGCTGCGGTACAGGACACGCTTGACGCAGTTCATCCATGACAAGTACCTCTCGCAGCTGACCTTTTATGGTATTTCTGCGCTTGATGATCGGATCAAGAACCCAGATCAGCTTATTGCTGTCGATGTGGCCAAGTTCTCGAATAGTTTGGCCGAGCTGTACAGCAACTTGGCCAAGCCCCTTCTCGACATGGTATGCCCCCTATTTGCCTGCATACAAAGTAAACATGACTGACACGACCAGACAATCTACACATTCTCCCTCTCGAAATCTGTCGGCGGAGAAGGCGTCGTCTTCATGTCTCTTCTCGTCCAGCTCTCAGCGCACGTCATGCGTGCGTTGACACCCCCATTCGGGAAATACGTGGCCGACGAAGCCAGACTCGAAGGCGAGTTCCGCTTCCAGCACTCGAGATTAATAGACCACAGCGAGGAAGTCGCCCTGTACGCCGGTCACGAAGCCGAAAAGGACACCCTCGACAAGGGCTACTTCACCCTCATCAAGCACGTCAACTACATTCTCCGCCGCCGGTTCTACCACGGCTTCATGGAGGACTTTGTCATCAAGTACTTTTGGGGCGCGCTCGGGTTGCTGCTGTGCAGTGTTCCTGTCTTTGTGAAGCTCCCTGGCCAAGTGACGATGAACATGGGTGACAGGACTGAGACCTTTGTGACCAACCGTCGCATGTTGCTGTCGGCGTCGGATGCCTTTGGGCGCATCATGTTCTCCTACAGGGAAATCATGGAGTTGGCGGGTTACACCTCCCGCGTGTCGTCACTGTTGGAAGTCATGGATGATATTCAGGCGGGGCACTTTGAGAAGAAGCTTGTGTCTAGCTCGGGCACCGAAAACAACGAGGCTGTCCTCAAGGGAAGAGGCAAGGTTGTTGAGAGCAGCAACATTGAGTTTATCGATGTGTAAGTCCCCCCCCCACCCCCACCTCCTTTTCTTTTCGTCCCCCCCACTAACCTTTTCAGACCCATCATCTCCCCCAACGGCGACGTCCTCGTCCCAGCCCTAACCTTCAAACTCACCCCGGGCGACCACCTGTTGGTCGTCGGCCCCAACGGCTGCGGCAAATCCTCCCTTTTCCGCATCCTCGGCGGGTTATGGCCCGTATACGGCGGGACAGTCCACAAACCCCCCTTCACAGACATCTTTTACATCCCCCAACGCCCTTACCTCTCCCGCGGCTCCCTCCGCCAACAAATCATCTACCCCGACGGCCTCCGCACCATGCGCTCCAAAGGCGTGACCGACTCCGATCTCTTGTCCATCCTGAAAATTCTATCTCTGGAACACCTGATCGACCTCTACCCCGAAGGCTGGGACGCGGAAGCCGAGTGGCGCGACGTCTTGTCTGGCGGGCTACAGCAGAGGGTGGCAATGGCCAGGCTGTTTTACCACCGCCCTAAATATGCCATTTTGGATGAGTGTACCAGCTCAGTGACGCTCGACACGGAAAAGGTCATGTACGACAATGCCAAGGCGCTGGGGATCACGCTCATGACGGTAAGTCATCGGAGGAGCTTGTGGAAGTACCACACGCACATTTTGCAGTTTGACGGGCAGGGGCACTTTGTCTTTACGAGGCTGGATGCGGACAAAAGAATGAAGCTGGAGGATGAGAAGGAGGATTTGGAGGTGCTGCTGAGGCAGGTGCCCGAGTTGGAGAGGAGGGTGAGGGAGTTGAGTGAGCTTTAGTGGGACGGTGGTAATGATTTTTTTTTAAAAAAAAAATAAATTGGAAAGCAAAGGTGTGTATTATCATGAGATGAAAATGCAAACAGAGCATAGGTAGACATGGTTGTAGCAGGGTGTGTCGTTATTTCGGCTTATTCTTTTTCTCGATAATCTCAAGAGATGGAAGGGGCATACCTGGTCTAAATAAGAAAGGGGACCAAGATGTGTTCTTTATGTATCTGTTGTACTAGTATGAGCCGTGGTTGTTTGTTGGCTTGCAGGTATCTAACGATGGCGAGTTATGTAGGGAGTACTGAATGAATGTCATCACGGAGTATCACCTGCACAATCCAAAATTGAAAGAGCTTGGATATCCTTTTATTTTAAAGCCTCCTGTCTACAAGACTCTCTGGACATGACCGCCCTTGCAATGACAGTCTAGCTACCGTATCCCATCCATCGCCATGATTTATCTATGCTATGCCTTTCCAACGGGAATGCAAAATAGGTACCCTCTTCCATCTCGACAACAGCTTCTTGCGTTTATGCAAACGAAAACTCCCCAGTCAGTCATACCTCATCCTCCTCGCACCCTGCGCCACCCCATGAGCTTTACTCAGCCGGGACATCGTACATGTTGGTTGTTGGTCTGTCGCCGCCATCGCCGACAAGGCAAATGAGTCGGTATTGTGCGCGAAATAAAAGGAAATTCCCGACAGGTCCTTCTTGACAGCCATGACCCCAATCGCTCCAGCCGAGGGCTGGTTCCGCACTCCAGGATGCCCCATAAAGTCGTTGACAATGAAGGACTCCATCAGGGCAGACTCATCCAGCTCTTCAATATCTTGGCCACTAGGTCCGCGCCGGGTACAGTGAAACAGACGCTCAGCACACTTGGCAGAGGCAATGCACGTGGCCATGTGTTCGCCTGTCCCGCTGGTGACAGCAGCTACCGAGGTCGCCATTTCGTCTTCGGGGTCCTCCGGCACAACAGCGGTACCAATGCCGACGAGGGCAGCAGGCCCAATTCGGCCGCGATGCTTCATTCCAATACCCCCAGAAGAAGATCCTGCTGCAATGTGACCCCTGTTATCAATGGCGATGGCGCCGACCGTGTCTGTTACGAAATCCTCATCGCCGCTACCGAATTCTCGGCTACGTTTGGTGCCAGCAAGAATTGGCAGAGGCTGTTTCTCCTCTTCTTTTTTCTCTCCGTCGTCAGAGATATCGCCTCTATCGCTCTCCGCAGTGCTTACCGAACCGTCGTGTGCCGAAGCGGCCGGGGATGGTGCTTTGTTCGTCCCTGTGAGCGGCGTGAGGAAGGCGGCGGCATCATCACTCACGCTTTTCCGTACTTTGGGCCGCTTTTGAGATGGCCTCGAGCGCCCTTGAAAGGCGGCACTGACGTAGCTCAAAGGATTTGGGGTTCGCAGGGTGTACGATGAGGACCTGGACGAGCTGCTGGGAGTCGACCGCGCAGTGGTAACCGCAGTGCCTGCCGGTGATCCATTCTCTCCCAAGGGCGTGCCGGGGATATGAGGGGAGTCAGGTTGACCTTCATTCCAAGTTCCCGTCAAGATTGCATTGGTGTGATCTCGCCCCGACGACTGGCCAGCAGGGTCGGCGGCCTGTTCGTAGTCTCCAGCGCTGGACTTTTCAGCAGTCCTGCCAGAAAAATGATTCGAGGGGTGCAGTTTGGCTTCTGCCCGTTTTAAGTCCTCGTTCCAGCGGAGATATCTGTCCTTGGCATTCTTCGAAACCAGTTGCTCGTTGGGGACTTGGGGCATGCCATGTTCTATCCCGAACTCTCTGGCACCCTCTCCAACAAGGATGTTTGGTGGAACTCGGCGGAGTGACAGAGGACGACTGCTTGCGTCAAGAATTAGTTTGGCTAGAGATATAGGATTTCGCACTCCTATCGTCGAGTTAGTTCAAGTCTCCCGTGGTAGCTATGTGAGCACATCATACCAGGAACGGCACCGCAGGCACCGCTTCTTCCCAAGTGGTCTACCACAGTCGCATCACACTCGACAATGCCGTCCATGGTCAAGTTGCTGCCGAAGCCAGCATTGGTGATTTCCCTGTCCTCGAGGTATTTGATAGCAGCTTCCACGGCTTGGGTAGCAGAAGCACCAGCTCTCAGAAAGCTCATGCCCAGCTTGGCCGCTCTATGCTCGACAATCAGTATACCTGCTATGTGAGAGCATAGACCTAGGACGAACAGGGCTTACTCGCTACATGCACTGAGATGCACATGTTCATTGGCAACGCTGTGGTAACCGGCACCAGCATGGATAAAGATCGCAGCAACCGGCTGGGGCTGTTTCCTCCTCCAGACCCGGTCGGCAGCCCCATCTCCAGAGGATATTGGTGAGAGTTCGGGGCTACTTGAGCTGCGTTGCATCGTCGCGAGACGTAAAGGCCCCCCCCCGCCTTATACCACGGGTTCTGCGAGATATGGCGACCCGATAGGGCGTGTTGATTGTCGTAGGATTTAGGACCGGCGTGCGAGCAGAGGCGAGGTGGAAAGTCAAAACGGGGGGGATTGTAGTCCGGGGTAAAGAGGGCGTGTGGCGACGCTAAAGTCCTGTCATGGATACATGTGAGGGTGAGCAAGAGGCAGGACGGTGATCGTGAGCGGGCCAGGGGCGCGACGATGGATGGAGACGGGAAGGTTCGGTCTTTAGTGGGACGATAGGCAATGGACACAAACGATGCTGTATAAGGGTGCTGTGATAAATAAATTTGGTTTGGTTTGCCGGTGGTTTGAGACAAACTCAGGACAGCGGAAAGGAGGTGTTTTGAGGTGGACGGTTGATGGACGAAGAAGATGCAGTAGTTGGTGATTTCCAAGAGTTGACCAAATCACAGATTCCCGGGCGTCTTCGGATCTACGTCAGGGTGTGCAAATGGCGGGAGGAAGGTGGTTTCCTGGGGTGGTGGTTGCTTCTTGGGTTATGTGGACGGTGAGAGCTTCATGGCGCTTGCCAAATGTTTACTGCGGAGCTTTTTGGATTTGGAGCCGACCTGGCGGATGTTGGGGACTGCAACCACAACGAATCATGATTGATTGACATTGAGACGAGGATCCTTTAAGATGACCTCTGAAAGCCATGCCATGAAAACAAGGCTCAGGAACTTGGACCTGCCATCTTCTAACAATATCTTGAAGCTCTTGGCTAGACATTCGAGACCATTACCCAGAAGGTGAGAGTGACACTGGAGTTAAATGTTGAGGGGAAAGAGAGCCAGAGAGGTTTTGTCACAAGAGCTTCTGTTGACCGCCATAGTCTGGCGGGGCTCTCTCTTGGCGCACAGCCGCAGAGCCACCGCAACATGGATGGAGCTCGCTGCTGGCGAGACGTAATCTTGGACCTCCAACCTCCACTGGGCGCCGACTGCCTGCCACCTTCGACGTCCGGCTCACGATCCCCCAATTCCCATTCCCGTTCCGCAAAGCAACACTTGATTCTTCAACACACGAGCTGCATTCGGCCGCAACCCCATCGCAAACATGGCAAACCAAACGCCGGCCGTTGTCATGGACAAGTACGTCGCAGCCCCTTAAATCAAGCCCCGCTCTTCCCAGTCCAGGTAGCAGCCAGCTCCCAGCTTGAAGGTCATCGTCACTAACATCATGCGCGCAGCGGCACTGGCTTCTCCAAGTTAGGTTCGTAGCTTCGGGTATCGACCGGTAACATCCTTCTCGTAAACAACATCTGACCGGCTCTGCCCAGGTTTTGCCGGCAATGATTCCCCGTCCTTCGTTTTCCCGACCGCCATCGCGACCAAGGCCGCTGCCGGTAGCGCCGGGTCTGGCTCTGGCCGTCCGGCCGTAGCGAACAAGCCCTCTTTCCTCACCGGCGGTGCTGGTCCGACCGGCCATCTCTCGGCCAAGCGCGGCACTGAGGACCTCGATTACTTTATTGGCGACGAAGCCATCGCCGCCTCTTCTGGCCCCGGTTACGGGCTGCACTACCCAATCCGACACGGTCAAATAGAGAACTGGGTGGGTCTAGTCGCATCGGGTTGGAAGAGGAAGCACAATGCTAATACGAGGATACCCAGGATCACATGGAGAGATTTTGGTCCAACTCCATCTTTAAATATTTGAGAGTCGAGCCTGAGGATCATCACTTCCTCCTCACCGAACCACCCCTGAACCCCCCCGAAAATCGTGAAAACACGGCCGAGATTTTCTTCGAGTCTTTCAACTGCGCCGGTCTATATATTGCCGTTCAGGCCGTGTTGGCTCTTGCTGCCTCCTGGACCTCATCCAAGGTCACCGACCGATCCCTGACCGGTACTGTTATTGACTCGGGTGACGGTGTCACCCACGTCATCCCCGTGGCCGAGGGCTATGTTATTGGATCATCGATCAAGTCTATTCCCATTGCTGGACGCGACATCACCTACTTTGTCCAGTCACTCCTGAGAGACCGCGGCGAGCCCGACTCGTCGCTCAAGACGGCGCAGGAGATCAAGGAGCAGTACTGCTATGTGTGCCCCGACATTGTCAAGGAGTTTGACCGCTTCGATCGTGACCGCAGTCGCTTCATGGAGCACGTTGTTGCGCACCCCGGCGGTCGCCAAGCGACTGTCGATGTTGGTTACGAGCGCTTCCTTGCTCCTGAAATCTTCTTCAACCCCGAAATCTACTCGTCCGACTTTTTGACTCCCCTTCCCGTGGTGGTGGATGGCGTCATCCAGTCATCCCCTATCGATGTGCGCCGCGGTCTCTACAAGAACATTGTGCTCTCTGGTGGTAGCACACTCTACAAGGACTTTGGTCGCAGATTACAGCGTGATATCAAGCAGTTGGTGGATGCCAGAATTCGGGCCAGCGAGGCTCGCAGCGGTGGAGCCAAGAGCGGTGGTCTTGATGTCCAAGTCATCACGCACAAGCGACAAAGGCACGGCCCCTGGTTTGGTGGCAGTTTGCTTGGTCAAACACCCGAGTTCCGATCCTACTGCCACACCAAGGCGGAGGTATGTGTCCCTCATACTGACCATATATGTCGAGCAATGATGGCTAACCGTCTTACAGTACCAAGAATATGGCCCAAGTATTGTTCGGAGATTTGCGCTGTTGGGTGGCCCTGCAGGCTCTTAGAGTATGGTGTTTTTTTGTAGTAAAAGCAAGCGATGTTTTTGGAGAGGGCGGTTGCGTTTCTGCGGGACGGCGGCGCCCAAAAGAGATAGGAAAGACATGTTTTTTATTCATTTATTTGTTGATTTTTAGACCAAGTGACCTTGAAGTGGTGGAACCCGGCTTTCGGGATGGCCACCAAGCCGGCGTCTCCGCCCCCCGAGCGCAACCCCCAGGCCGTTTGATATGGACCGGGCAGTCTCAGCTGCTTTCCAGACTACCGAGTTCCCAGCTCGGCAATCTTTTGACGATCTGGGGGCTGTTTAGCTTCGGCTCAACCCCGCGTTTTGTCGTGATCCTTTATGCGGGGGAAGTGTCTTTTTGGGGTCTGTTGGGACGTCACGATGTTAGACATACATAACCTCGGATATAAGTGCATTTTGTGATGCTTCCTTCGCTCAAGCGGAAGCTGGGGAAGGGATTTTAGATGGTGGTGGTGATGCGGGGAAGTTTTGAAAAGTGACTGATTCTTATGTATCGTGTGTTTGGTCGATGTGATACTTTATTATGGGAAGGTTTAATCCGGCCGGTCTAGAATTCTTGGAGGATCCGATATATCCGGCCTTGTCCGGGGCGGTCCGGCTCCGACTTTCATATCATAAGGTAGACTCCCTCTCCGTTGATTCAATTGATCGGTGGAGTCTATCCAGAACATGAGATGATTGCTGTTTTGACTGCCTGATGGACACTGGAATCCGGTACTGGACTGAATGACAACGTGATGGTGATCGTGATAAGAGTTAAGAATTTGATCCGAACTATGGAGCGATGATGATGTGGTTTGTTTTGGAACGGGCCGTTTACAGTGGTGGCGTCGACTTACACGAGCAGCGGCTGTAGTTCTAGCGCCCTATCGCTTGGTTCCGGGGCAGCGGAAGGCCTTTCTTCCATGCATGACACTGCATTGTGTGGAACGTCACAACGGCCTAGGCTTGCTGCGAGGGGAAGGGGGGGGGGGGGTTATCATCAAGATGGACAGAACATCAGACCACCTTCTGCGTCCGTGGACTTGGATATTGACTGCCGCGATTGACGGTTCAGTTTTTTAGGGGCAAGGTTTTAATTCGACAAAATAACGGCTTCTAAGGACAAGTTGATCAACAGTTTTGGGTAGCAGAGGATTTAGACACATAAAAATTGTGGTTCCATGACGTTTGGTGCAGGCGTGATCTTCCGGGGATAAACACCAGTCAGTTTTGCTTCCTCGTAAAAACAACAACAACAACAACAACAACAACAGCAGAGCTTCCAGGCGGAGATCACTCGGTCTTTTTTTCTACGGCATGATGTTAAGAGGAGGGTAACAGTGCATTACAGCCTCACAGAAACAAGCCTTCCACTATGTCTGATTCTGGAAAGGGCCTTCCACCTCCCTGTAGTTAGCCCCGGTTTGGTAACAAAGGAAAAGATCATACGTTTTTCCCTGACAGCACTTTCCCGCCCCCCTCGCAGGCAAGGAAAAAGCTTCGATGATGCAGCAGATCTCGTGTCTGGACCGCAGGTGGTCTCCTCATTTCGTGAGGGGGTGACTGGGACACAAGTGTATATAAAGGTCACACGGTTACCTCATTTTGTACATCACAGTTCAACTTTGATTTCATCAGAACCAACCTATCCCATACTCAAACGCCAACCACTATTTTCAGAGAAGAAAGAGAAAGAGTCTGTTCAAGATGACAACCTACGACATCCCAACCGAGCAATGGGCCCAAGTAGTCGAAGCCCCCGGCGGCCGTACGTTTCCCATCCCCATCCCCACCTAGGTCTTGACAACCACAACTAACATCCCGCGCCCCCAGCCGCCGTCTACAAGAAAATCCCCGTCCCCTCCCCTGGCCCAGATGAGGTCCTCATCAACGTAAAGTACTCCGGCGTCTGCCACACCGACCTCCACGCCATGAAGGGTGACTGGTATGTTCCCCCCCAACCTTCACTCTCCCCATTCCCCAAAACAAAGCTAACAAATCTTCCCCCCCCCCCCTCCAGGCCAATCCCCACTAAAATCCCCCTCGTCGGCGGCCATGAAGGCGCCGGCATCGTCGTGAAAAAAGGCTCCCTAGTCGCCGACGACATCAAGCTAGGCGACGCAGCAGGCATCAAATGGCTCAACGGCTCGTGCCTCTCCTGCTCCTTTTGCCAACAATCTGACGAGCCCCTCTGCCAGTCTGCCCTCTTGTCGGGGTACACGGTCGACGGGTCGTTCCAGCAGTATGCCATCGCCAAGGCTGCGCACATCGCGCGGATTCCTGAGGGTGTTGATCTTGAGGAGGTGGCTCCTGTGCTCTGCGCCGGGATTACGGTATACAAGGGATTAAAGGAATCAGGAGTGAGACCAGGCCAGTGGGTTGCTGTTGTTGGAGCGGGTGGCGGGTTGGGGAGTATGGCGGTGCAATACGCCAAGGCTATGGGAGTGCATGTTATTGGGATTGATGGCGGGAATGAAAAGGGGGAGAGTGTCAAGAAACTGGGGGGGAGTGCCTACGTTGATTTTATGGCGTCCAAGGATTTGGTTGAGGAGGTCAAAGCTGCGACGCCCGATGGGTTGGGGCCGCATGCTGTGTTGTTGTTGGCTGTGTCGGAGAAGCCGTTCCAGCAGGCGACCGAGTATGTCAGGAGTAGGGGGGCAGTTGTTTGCATTGGGTTGCCTGCGGGGGCGTATCTCAAGGCGCCTGTGTTTGATACCGTGCTTAGGATGATTACTATCAAGGGGAGCTACGTGGGCAACAGGCAGGATACGGCCGAGGCGTTGGACTTCTTCCAGAGGGGTTTGATCAAGGTGCCGTATAAGACTGTTGGGTTGAGCCAGCTGGGCGAGGTGTACCAGATGATGGAGGAGGGCAAGATTGTGGGGAGGTATGTGGTTGATACTAGCAAGTAGACAGGGCAATGGGGAAGGGCTGGCTGTGGGTAATGATTATATGTGAGCGTTATTATGTATCCTGAAAATAAGAGAGTTAAACAGTCAAACCACCAGAGTTCAACTGCCTCGTCTCCCCAACCGCCTCAAAAGTCCCGTTATACAACCTCAGCAACCCCTGCGCTGAGCTCTGTCCCGGAGCCATCCAAGAGACATTATGCTGCTTGCTCCCCAACCCAACAAAAACACTCTCGTCATACCCCGTCTCAACATTCAAAACATTAGGCATGAGCTGGTGGTGTAACCTCGGGGCTTTGATGGCCTCGTACATCTCCCCAACAGCACTACGTCCCTGATCAATGGCGGACATGATCCCAAAGGCAACTTGCATCGTAGAAGAGATAATCCTCGATCCGCCGGCTGCTCCTGTGGCAAAGAAAAGGGAGCCGTTGCTGGCGTGTTCGACAATAAGGGGGGTGATGGAGGACAGGGGGCGCTTGTAAGGGGCGATGAAGTTGTTGGGCGAGGGCTCGAAGCCGAAGGAGTTGGGGCGGCCGGGTTGGGAAAAGTCGTCCATTTCGTTGTTGCTGGAAGGGGGGGGGTTGTTAGCTTTGTTTGAGAGAGCGGAAGGGGGGGCTTACAGGATGATGCCAGTGTCGGTCATGATTTTTGCCCCAAAAAGCAGGTTGATTGTCGTGGTGGAGGTAACTGTCATGCCTGTCTCGTCAGACGCAACAAGGTGAGAGGTTCCCGAGCTTTCAGCAGCGTACACCGATTGTGGGTTGTACACGTCCAGAGCCTGGGTCTGGTTATCCATGATCATCTTGCGGATCTGTTGGGCCTTCTCCTCGCTCAACATGGTCTTCTGGAACGCTGTCAACCCTCTGATGAAATCAGGGTCACCAAGTTCTTGACGTGCTCCATAAGCAAACTTCATCGCCTCGGTGAGCCTGTGGGCAGTCAAGCTCTTGTCTGCCAAGTCCTCAGGGGGGAACTGCTCCATGACCTTGAGGATGTTGAGCGTGACTGCGCCGCTGCTGGGTGCAACCGTCGTGTAAAGCTTGAAGCCGCGGTAATCAATGCTGAGGGGCTGCTTCATGCGGATGGTATACTCTCTCAAATCGTCATGCGTCATCGTCCCGTTATTCTCCTGAATAGTCTTGATAATCGAGTCGGCGATTTCTCCTTCGTAGAACGCCTCAGGTCCTTCAGTGGCAATTTTCTCAAGCGTACTCGCCAACCTCTTCCTCGTAATCCTATCCCCCAATCCCAACAACGTCCCATTCGGCGCAAAATCCTGCGCCCAAACCGGATCGCTCACCAAAAAGTCATCATTGGCACTCGCAGCCTTCATGTACTTGACCAAATCCTCGCCAACCGTAAACCCCTCCCTCGCAACCTCGACAGCAGGCATCACCACCTCCTTCCACCCCAACCTCCCATACTTTTCCTGCAGATACCCCAGCCCTCTAATCTCCCCCGGCACCCCCACCGCCAACCCCCCAATCACTGAGGCGTTTCGATCATGTTTGTACATGTCTTTGTGCGCAGAAGAAGGGGCAGTCTCCCGGTAGTCGATGACCTCATGGCGGCCAAGCTCGTCGCGGACGAGCATGAAGCCGCCGCCGCCGATGCCCGAGTGGTACATTCCTATTACCCCCACGCAGAGGGTTGCTGCTACGAGGGCGTCGGCTGCCGTCCCGCCTTGGGAGATCATGTCGATGCCGATTTGGGAGCAGAGTTTGGATTCGGAGGCGACGGCCCCGCGGGTGCCATTTGGCGCGGTTGAAGGGTCAAGGTTGAGGACGCATTGTTCTTGTTCTGGGGAGTAGCGGAATGGGGCCGGAAGGCCGGATGTGAGGGTGAGGGTGCTGGCTAGGCTGAGGGCCAGGGGGAGGATGGGGATGTCTAGGTGGTGTTAGTTTTGGGGCTGAATAAGTTTGGGAAATAAAGAAAGCGGACTTACACATGGCGATGATATGGTTTGTTACCCTTATATACAACTATGCATATGTCCAAAAAGCTCGTCGTTGTTTCGTTGCAACCAACCTCTTACCAACCACGACGCTAAATGTACAACGGAGCAAGACGCGAGTGCAAGATAAAGAATAGAAGCAAAATCCCACTTTTCCCAACCAGAAATAGTGTATCCACGAAAAAAACGGGAAAAAAACCCTATCCGTTTCCGTTTCTCACCCTTCTCATCCTCAAACTTACTCCCCACTTCAAGGAAGAGGGAAGGCAGGCACCCTTTAAGCAAGAGCAAGATAGATAAGCCTTGGTAGTGATCCCCTGTCCCACGCCGCTTACCCCAAAAGCAAAGCGGAGTTGGGTATCCATTCCACCATACTCAACCCCAACCCTGCGCTGTTATCTTCTTTCCATCCACCAATTAGCGGAACAGTGATTGCCTATTGTGATCGTCAACGTCATCTGACAGTTTATCTCCTTCCTTTTTCTCAGACCGACATGTGATTATTCAACGGGTTCATTCATTTGCACTTTCAGGTTTTTTTTTTGTCTGGGTATATACTCAAGTTGGTTTTAACCACTAAAAAGATGTTATTTGTTTGTCTATTCATCGGTTCATCTTCTAATTCATCCCCAAGCTTCAACCAAGTCGTCGTCGTTCTTCCAAAAAAAAAAAAGCAAGTGAATGAATGTACACAAAAAAGGCTCAAAATTGCCTGGGCTCTCTCTTTCCCGTCTAGGGCTCAGAGAGAAAAGAAAACATTTCCACAACATCAAAATCTCCAAAATCCATCTATGATACCCAAAGTGGCTGACTGATCTTACACGCTCCCCCCTTCCCCGGAAGATAGAATGGCGATACTTTTACGCCCTCGCGGGCGTAGCCACTCTTTTGTCCGTTTTAAGCACTAACAACAACCGTCGGTTATTTAAAAAAGCTTAACCGGCACCGCAGCCCCAGTAGCGGAAGCGACACCGCTCACGACCGTCCCATTGGCGGCAGTAGGGAAAGGAGTGGCGCTGGCCTCGGCGGTGACAGTCACAATCTCATCAGGGGGGCAGGCCTCCTCCTCGTCACCCTCCTCGACGACCTCCTCAACGGGGGTGGTCACAGCAGCGAGTTCGTCAGCGGTGGTGGTGGCGGCGACCTCGGTGGTGGCGGTAGTAGTGGTCTTGTTCTTGTTCTTGTTCTTCTTGGTCTTGACGGCCTTGTTCTTGCCACCGCCGACGGTGACAAAGACGGTGGAGACGGCGGCCGCCTCGGTGACGGTGACAGTGACGGCACCGGCAGCAGCACCGGCCTCGGTGACGGTCACGGTGGCGGTGGCGGCGGTCTCAGTGACGGTGACGGCGCCCTCGCAGACTTCGCAGACGGGGCAGGCTTCCTCGGGGGCGTTGCCGTTGCCGTTGCCGTTGCCGTTACCATTGCCGGCACCAGCGCCGGGGGTGACGACGGCGGTGACGGTGGTCTGCTGATTGGGCTTCTTGACGGTGACGGTGCGGGTGCCGGTGGAGGTGAGAGTGGCAGTGGTGGTGGTGTCGACATCGGCAGCAGGGGTGGTCTCAGCGGAGCCGGGGACGGCAGCGGAGGTCTCCTCGACGGGGGTCTCACCGGCAGCCGGAGTGGTGGCGGCGGCGGTCTCGCCGGCGGGGTGGCTGACGGTGACGGTCACAACGTTGACCTTGGTCTCGGTGGACTTAACCTTGGTCTTGACCTTGGTGGTGACGACACGGGGGGTCTCAGCAACACCGCCGCCACCGAGGGTGACGGTGACGACGCGCTCGCTGGTGACGGTGTGAACAATGCTCTCGGTCTCAGTGGAAACGACAGTCTCAACAACGTGAGTGCTGGCAGGGGCTGTCTCGACAGCAGTGTCAGCGGGAGCAGCAGTCTCGGCGGGGGCGGTACCGGTGTTGGTGATGGCAATGCCAGTTCCGGTGATCACAGGGGCGTCAGAGGGGGTGAGAGTGGAACCAGTGATGAGACCGGAAGAAGCCTCTTCAAGAACGCTGGACTCGATGGCAGGGACCTCGGTGACGGGACAGACGATCTCGGTGAGGACGACGGTGTTGGTGACGATGACGGTCTCCAGGGCCTCGGTGGGGAGCTCAAGGAGATCCTCAGTCTTGGTAGGGCAGTCGATGACCTCGGCAGCGCAAGAGGTGATGGTGAGCACCTCAGTGGTGGAAACGGTCAAGGTGGTGATACCGGCCTGGGCAGCAGTGGTGGTGGCGGTGCCGTTGACGAAAGGAGCGCTGGTGATGGCAGTGTCGACGGCAGACTCAACACCAGTGGAGAGAGGAATAGCGGAGGAGAGATCAGCAACGCCGGTTCCGAGAGAGGTAGCGGCAGCCGTCTCGGCAGCCGAGCTGCTGGAGATGAGGTTTGTGGTGTTTTGTCGCCTCCAGTGCATGTTGTATCTGGGGTGAGAGTAGGCGGTGGTAAGGGCGGCGAAAAGGCCGACGGCAAGAGGAGCAGACTTCATCTTGAAGGTTGATCTGGTGTATATCTCTGGGTAAGTTCGAAGTTGATGTGGTGATGAAATTGTTCAAAGTGCGCCTGGCAAAATATTCGTTTGTTTGAGTCTTTTGGAAAGCAGCGAGAGATCGACTTCGCAGTAAAAATGAGCAAACACAGTTGCTTAGAGAGTGTAGATACAAGAGAAGAAAAAGAATTGAATGTCCAGACAAGCAAAAGGAATGGTGCTTGACCAAGAAAATGAAGGTTTATTTTTTTGGAAGAACGTGAAGAAAACAAGAGGAGAAAATAGGGAACACAAAGAAAACAACACCTGGGTGGTGAGGTTCTTATGAGGGGGCCACCATCAGGCAATCCACACCAAGGTTCCATCGCCCAAGAGATGTTTTCCGAGATTCCCATGGGTGGGGCTTGGGGGGGGGATGAACCCATGTCTGTTTCCCAAGCATCATCAACCGCCTGGTTCCTCTTCTCAAACCCCACCGTTAGGTGATTGCTCTTTTCGATTCGACTGCCGCGAGAATGGTGGTTGACTGGCACACTGGGCGGTTTGCCGGAAATCCAGGAGGCTCTGTCGTGACACCGACAGGGGTGCCGTAGCCAAGACCAGGGGGCAGATGCAGGAACCGCAAACCTGAGACAGGCTGGGAGCCAATCATTTTGCCTGACTAGGGCACCGTTATGGAAAAGGGGGGGCTTTTTCGATTCTGCTGTCTCCATACTTCTGAAGCAGTGACATCAGGTATGAACCCTCAGGCGTTCATCGCCCGTCGGTTTGTCCGTTCAAGATCCGAAAGGGTGGACAGCCGTGACGGCTTCAAGTTGTCAAGCATCATCCTTTTTTGCTTTCCCATCCATCCGTCCGTCATCCGAGAGATAAAAGTTTGCACGGTTGATCTTCAACCCGACCGATTGGTGAAGATGGGGGCGGGGCAAAAAGATCACTGAGGCACACAAGGTTGAAAATCATTAATGATCAGAGATCAAAACCAGGAAGGTGGGCAAAGGTGTCTGAGACAAGTGATCGCCAGCGAGAAGTCTGGTACAGTGCTACGGAGAGGTACTATAACAGACGATAATAGCCCGATGGGTGCAGCTTAACTGACAGCGGTTGTTGGTGAAATGCGAGACTTGTTTCGCTCACTTCTCGAACTCGCCTATTTTTCTGGATTTTATTTAGAAAGAAAAGAAGCGGTACAACAATCGAAGTGCAACCTTCTCTCGTCAGACAGTAGAGGGGGTCCAACCGCAAAGAAGTCTCGATATGCCTCGGCCAGTGCCTTCTCACCTAGCAATCCTCCCGACCACTCACCTCACGTTCAACAAGCTTATTTCCGTCATCCACCCTCTCCGGATCCCAAGTTTGTACAACAATATCATTTCGTTGGCATCCTTCCTTACCATCATCACCACCGCCATCAACATCCTCTGCCCTGCCCAGCCCTGCCCAGACCTTATCCCCTCATCAGGGGTCCAGTTTCGAGACTCCCTTCTCCCCAGTCCCCAACTTAAATTCATTAAGGAGACCACCAGTTTCATCCTCCCCGGTTCTCCACCACAGCTACAACACCCCCCAATTTTCATCGCGACGTTTGAACCAAGACTCGCTCCCATTGGCCAGCGCTTCAAGAAACTCTTCTCCTTCTTCATGCGATTTTCCAGGCGCGTCAATCATCGTCAACATGTTGCGCGCTTTCGCATAAACCAGCGTCAACACACGGACAATGATCCTCACCCAGCCTCACCCAGAGACTATTTCTGTCCTTCCTCCCCCCTCCCCTCTGTGCACGTGTGACGGTTGTTTTGGAGATCGGATCAAGCATGATAGCGGGAGCGGGCAGCGCGGTAGCGGTGACGGACATTTTATCCATTGACCAAGCCCCTATCACGGTCCATACCAAGTCCCAGAGATTCCAGAACATTGGTTACCTAGGAAAGAAAGGCAGGAATGATTTCCACACTGCCTGCTCCCCTTCTTATTTTGCTCTCCCGTGGCTTGCTGTTGGGTGATCACCGTCGTCTGAACTCGTGATCTGTGTGATTTTCAAGTTTGCTTCTGCTGACTTGTTGATCTGTCGTCGGCATTTGCGTGGCGTAAGCGGGTGAGTCCCGTCCCCGGGTAGGTCGCGAGGTTGGGTCTGGTACGGTCCGGTCAGGTCGGGAGATGGGCTGTCGATGATGTAGGTAGAGAGAAAGAGTGCAAACTTGGGATGATGAGAACATGTCAGCATGGGGGCTATTGCAGATATCGCCACTTGTTGGAGCATGCTGATATCCCCGACGGCAAAAATTGTGAGCATCACTGTCTAGACATCGGCACATGTAAACTGTCTGTTATGTTGAGTCGAAAGTGACCAATGCCCTGCTGCGCCCACCACGCAAAATGCCAACATCAAAGTAACAACACAGAGATGATCAATTGGCCCGGGTCAAAGAACTCTGTGGCCGAGTGGTGGTGTTGAGCAAGTACAAGTCAGACTCGTTTCCCCAAAGAAAGGAACGCTGTCAAGCGACGTCGGTAAAAAGCACCAAGAATACAGTCATCACTCGCGGAAACCTCGTCTAGGTCATGCTCTTTAATATGACATAGAATGGGATCCCGCCGGGTGATGATTGTATACTTGCAGTCCTCTCTTCGCCATTCAGTAGACAAGCATCCCATTCTTCCAAGATACAAGCCAGTCCCAGTTGTACTAGCTTAACACTACTACCTGGCCTAGAACCCCCTTCCCCAGCCTTCTCATTCCTTTTGTACAGTATCCTAATCCACAATCATGCAAATGTATATATACACAGCCATCCATCTCGATGCACCCCCATTCCATGTTCATGCCGTATACC